CGCAGGTACCGGCTCACACCTGATGGGTGGGATGGGTTGGGGGTGGAGATGCAGAGCCCTGGGCTGGGCCAGAGGACGGGCGCCCCCGGGGACTTGAGCCGGTGGCTAGCGCGATCCCTGGCCGTACCTGGCCTTCTTTGCCAAGTCTTTGGAATTCTTGAAAAGAATTCCTCGAGATCCTAGATTGTGTTTGCAGAGGCTCCGGTTGCCAGCGTGGGACGGGAGGTAGTGTCCCCAAGCAGTACTTTTTAATGGCTTCATTTTGCATTTGAGCAGCCTGGATGTATGTACCTATCTGTGTATTATGGATGGGTAACTATACAGATACACGTGTCTGTATAGATCTGTATAGACAGATCTGTATACATATAAATAGAGACATAGATAGGTATAATTAAAAACAGATTGGGCCGGTCCTGTTTTGCAAGACCAATTGGAGATCCACTTGTAAAGAACGCAGTTCTAGAGGGAGGAAAATGGAGCTTGGCGATCAATTAGATTAAAAAATCTGCAGGTGGGCAGGGGACTCCGCGCTACATACGGGAAAATTAGCATTTTCTCAAAAGAACTTCGAATGCCCTTTGTGCTAAACTGGATTACAACCACCAACGATTAAGATCCCCAACTTTCAAACAAGGGCCTACCCCTGGCTGTAATGACTCGGAGGAGAGGGCACTTGGGAGTTCCTATTTGAATTGCGGGAGAGAGGGAAATCTCGTTGATAGTAGCTTGCGTGTTGCAGGCCGACTTTCTGTGCTTGGATCCGAGTTTGCGATAAAGGGGCTCCAACTTGCCCGCAGCCCCTTTTGTTCCGTTAAAAGTAAATTGCACCAGTCGGTACTTGGTCATTTAAGCCTCTGCTAGCTTCCTCATGGGTGAAGAGTTGGGGAGCCATCTTGGGAGACAGAAGATGGGCTTAACACTTCACCTCTTTGTAAACGAAGTTAGGTTTTTGGTAAGGTTTTAGAGATGTGCATTCCTGTCGGGTATAGCTTTCAGCTGTGTAACCTTGAGACCTGCTCGGTTTCTCTGAGCGTTTGGATTTTTTTTCTTCCCTCTCTACAGTGGAGGTAAAGAATCCTGTTCAGATAATTTCAACTACAAAGACCCAACTGTGTGCTGGGAATGTGATGAGTAATTAGTTTTGTTCACAATAACCATGTTTTCCATTGTATTTACTTACCGTGTCAAGATGGGTACGAGCTAATTGAGAGTCTGCCGCCTACCAGGCTGGGGACCTCAAGTACATTATCTGTAATTCTCATTTTTACTCGTTTTGAGTAAACAGCAGCTCCCAGTTGAAATGGCATGCTCACGGTGGGTTTTAGCCATGCTGGGAATCCAAGGGACTGTTTTATCATGGTCTGACTCGGACTGGTTATGGGATGGGGTTTTCTATCAGTCCCTTTGATGAGGAAGCCACGATGAGTGTTTAATGTTTGAGATGTGCCTTTTTGGACTTTACATTAAGGGATCCTTGGGAAGAGAGTTCGAAATAAAGCAGCGTTTGCATCTCACGCTCTGGGCCCTCTTGCCCTGGAAAAATGATGGGAAGAGTTCAGAAAGTTCTTTTCATCAGCCCTTAACCTGTTGTACTTGTGATTCTTGAGAGAAAGCATCCGAACCATTTTTAAAAGACTCTGATTCCAGACAAGCTGCGCATCTCCAGTCGCCACCATCCTTTTTTTTTTTTTTTTTTTTTTTTTTTTTTTTTTTTCCCTCCCAAATGAATTTCACGTCTAGGTCAGTCTTTGTTCTGGAGGGGCTCTGTGGAAGGGGACAATAAAAGCCCCTGCCTGCATGGAGTTTACAAGTTTGCCTAAAAGATGAGCTCCAGTTGAGGGAAAAGGGGGACATATCTCTTCATGTAAATAGCCAAACTCAGACGCTTTACCAGCGATTACAGCCTTCTTTGGTTCTTTGACTGTTTTTTTCCCTTTCAGCAGAGCCCCTGAATTTTGATCCAAGACTGTTTGGAACAAGTTTTTAGCTCTTAATCAAGTAGAACTTAATTATAGCTCTAACTTGCCAACTATGATTTGACTTAAAAGCCGTGTTACTGAAGCGTTTCTCTCCGATTGCTGAATTGAGATGTAAAACTAAACTGGTAAACGGGCACTTTCAACTGGTTCAAAGAACGTCTCCATTTCCTTTTGTTTTTTGGTAAGCAATTATCCTGTGGGTGGGGGAGGGTGGAAGATAGTGTATACTTCAGATAATCTACTCATTGTGGTTCTTTTAATATAGGAATGGGGGAAAAAGATAAGCTTGAGTCCTAATGCTTTGCTCAAGATTATGGAGGTTTTATTTTTGAAGCATTTTCAAGTCTGCAGAATGTGATTGGCTTCTAGTAGATGAGCTTTTCTTCTATACAATAGTAAGAGTATTTTCTATCCATTTGGCAGTGATTGAATCTAGGACCCCTGCTGGGTTTACTGCATTCTTCCAACTTATTGGATAACTAGATGCTGAGAGATAACATTCCTAAAATTCGGAGTGGGGGTGGGGGGGGATGGAAGAACTAGTTGCTGGGTAATCTCTCTGAACTTTGCTTTTTTCCTTTTGGGAAGGGTTAACGCGCGCATACCCAGCAGTTGTTCATAACCGAGCCCTCTTAACGCTCTGGCGAATACGGATTCGGTTATTTGCCGGTGGTGGTCTGGATGTGGAATCACTTTTTACTGCACATGCATTCAGAGCTGCTGTTTTAAGACCCAAGTGGGATGTTGCTGGTAATGCATGGACGCTACAGAGGAGGCCAGCCTGTGTATACAGTGAAGGCAAGCTGGTATTCAGGCTGTAAATCACTCTTGGAAACAGTTAGCTCCTGGGGGGGGGGG